TCTGAGGGCTGGAGAGACAGCCTCCATTGTCCCTGTATTAAGTCATCCTCCTACACAGCCAGCAGGTGGACACCATCTCACCTGTGTTGAGCTCTCTCCCCACAAAGACAAATTTGAATCTCCATTAACCTGGTGAACACCACTCCCCCACCTCCACCCCAGCATTTCCCTAGGACACTGCCCCAACCAACCCGCGCACCACCAGAGGTTTCATCAGAAGGCAGCCAACCTCGGCCCAAACACTGATAAAGGCTCTTTCTGTGGCAGACTAGCCTTGGCCCACCCTGAAGTCTTTCTTAAGGATTCTCAACGGTCCACAGGATCCAGGCAGGCAGCAGGCCTTAGTGTGCACTGTAACTCTTGCTGAGTGGCCCCAGGCTCAGCACTGACACTATATCTGAAGCTGCACTAACCTGGTGAATACAACTTGCCCACCCTACTAAACTCTTGAGATCCCAACTCGCCCAACTTGCATCCTGCCTGAGACAGTTTCACCTCCAGGCCCAGCATAGGCAGCTACCAACTGCAGAGTGCTTTGTAGCTCATAGCAGGTAGCTCTAGGCCAGTCAAAATGAGCAACTGAATTGGACCTGAACCAGACCAAAAGGCCCCAGGCCCAATACATGGTGGCCAACTTCAGACCAAAACATAGCACCACCTGATTGGCTCAACAAGCAGCACACACAAATAGTCATCTCAGCAGGCACTAGACCCCTGCTGGGGCAAATTCTACACCACAGAGTCAGCCTACACATAGCAGTTCATATCCTGTGGTTGTGGCCAATCCTCAAAGCCAGCATGAGAGTCAACACCACCCACTGACATGCCAAAAGCAATCAAGACTCAACTACAACAGAAAGGCACACACACAACCCAAATAAGGGATGCTGATGAGGCACCTGGCTCAGGGAGACTGCACCACTGGCCCCACAATACACCTACAACCTAAGGTCACTCTGCCAAGTCTGAGAGACATAGAAGATCTACCTAATACATTAAAACAAACACAGGGAGGCAGCCAAAATGAAGAGACAAAGAAACTATCCCAAATGAAAAAAAAAAAGTAGAAAACACTAGAAAAATAAGTAAATGAAATGGAGGCAAACAATCTACCAGATACAAATTTTAAAACACTGGTGATAAGGATGCTCAAGTCAGGGGAAGAATAGATGATGCTAATGAGAACTTCACAAAGAGACAGTAAGAATTAGGAAGGACATAGAAACCATGGAAGAGAACCAGTCAGAAATAAAGAATATCATATCTGAAATGAAAAACACACTAGAAGAAATCAACAGCAGATTATTAGATGAACCAGAGTAATGAATCAGTGATTTGGAAAACAAGGTAGCAGAAAATATCCAATTGGAACAGCAAAAAGAAAACAGAATTTAAAGACTGAGGATAGCTTAAGGGACTTCTGGGAGAACATCAAGCATAACAACATTCACATCACAGGGGTACCAGAAGGGGAAAAAAGAAAGTAACAAACTAAAAACCTGTTTGAAGAAATAATGACTAAAAACTTCCCTAACCTAATAAAGGAAATAGACATACAAATCCTGGGAGCACAAAGAGTCCCAAACAAGAGGAACTCAAAGAGACGCACACCAAGACACATCATAACTAAAATGCAAAAAGACAAAGAGAGAATATTAAAATCAAGAGAAAGGCAATTAGCTACATACAAGGGAGCTCCCATAAGACTGTCAGATGGCAGCATAGGTAAATGTAGTACTTGCTTCTTCCCACAACCACATCAAAATTACAACTAAACTACAGACTTGGCCAGGTGGCTCAGTCAGAGTGTCATTCCATACACAAAAGGTTGCAGGTTCAATTCCCAGTCAGGGCACATATCTAAGTTGTGGGTTTGATCCCTGGTTCAGGGAGCATACAGGAGGAAACAGATCGATGTTTCTCTCACCGCACCCCCATTCCTCTCTCCCTAAAATCAATAAAAACATATCTTCGGGTAAGGATTAAACAGAAATAAATAACAAACTGCCAAACAACCACCATTCAGAATCACCTGAAATTTGGCTGAATTGAAGTCCTACAACTAGGGAATTAAAGAAGCCTCAGAGAGACTAGTATGAGGGGTGGGGACAAGGAACAGGCTAGTCCCTTGCCCACATGTGGCAGATAAAATCTGGGAGGGATATCTCGACAACTGCAGAGGTACCCCCTGTGGAGCAAGAGGCAGCTCCAATCAGGCCCCTCAGCCTAGCATTCCAGTGTGAGAAAGAAAAGTCCCCAATCCTCAAGTAAAACCATCTAACCTAATAGTTTTAAGTGCCATCTATACACTGATGACTCTCAAATGTCTAAGTGCTCAGCCTGATAAGGAACTGGTTTTTCTCATGTACCAAGAAGTCTAGAAACAGGCAGTTCAATGACTCATGCAAAGACACTAATGCAGGGAAAGTGTGCCTGTGTTTTTTAACCAGACCATATTTGTCTGTGGTTTCTGTCCCTACAGCACAAAATTTATCACCCAAAATCCAGGAAAGGTGATTTTGAGGAAGGGGGGAGGTGGGTAAAGGGCAATAATTAAAGAGAAATAACTGTATTAGATGAACAGCTTCTCCAGAATCCATACCAATGACTTCTGCCTACTTCTTATTAGCCAGAACTGTGAAATATAGCCTCCCATAAATCCAAGAAAAACTAAGAAGTGGAATGTTTTTAACCTCCTGGAGATAACCTGGATTCTATTTATAAGATACCAAAGGACAAGGAATACATAAGAGACAACTAGATACTGCTTGCCATACAAAGCCAGAGATCATTTTCCTATAAACAAAAAAGCATATCATAAATAGCCCATTTTATGACCCACTTGCAAATACATTAGAAATCAGTACTCCCCCCAAAATTATAAAATGCCCCTACATCACCAATATCCAAATATTTCATAGTCTACTATAAATGAGGAAGTCTTTAAAGCTAAACCATAATGAAAACACCATTACAGTATATGAAATATCATAGAGCAGACATTTTAGAGCAGCGGTTCTCAACCTGTGGGTCACGGCCCCTTTGGGGAGTCAAACAACCCTTTCACAGGGGTCACCTAAGACCATCAGAAAACAAAATTACAGTTATGAAGTAGCAACAAAAATAATTTTGTCTAGGGGTCACCACAACATGAGGAACTATATTAAAGGGTTGCACAGCATTAGGAAGGTTGAGAACCACTGTTCTAGAGTGTCTTTAAAAGCAATTAAACTTTATAATACAAAACTACCACAGAGAATTAAGGGACTGGGTGCTTTCCCTGAGATTAAGACACACAGAAAGACAACCTCATTTTCATATCACTTCAATTTCTCCTCCATGAAGAATTCTCTTGTGTAAAGTACGTGAAGAACAGTATTGAAAGCTTTCCAAAATCCCTCACATCCATAGTTTATCCCTCCAAGAACTACTTTACAAATCTATAAAGGGATATATATTAACAAAAAAAAAAATTCCCACACTTTTATAGTCATATAGCTTCTTTCTAGGGCATAGTTTTGTGTGTAGTGTAAGATTTATACAATGTATACATCATTTCCCATGTGCCCATCAATCACAATTTTTCTCCAATGTGAATTACCATTTTACTAAAGGTTGAAAGCCAAAAAATACACATACACACACAGGCATTCCTATAGTTTAACATTCGTAACATTTTCTGTCTCTGCAAGATTACCAAAGAACATTAACATGAGGCAGAAATAAAGCTCTCCCACATATAGTACCTCCCACATAAAGTATCACTGCATGTTATGATTTACTCAGACCACTTGAACAATTTTTAACATTTCTTACATTTGTGAGAATTCTTGCACATTGAAACTTTCAAATAATTTCTGAAGGTTTTCCCAAATTTCCTACATATGAAGGGCATCTCTCCACTACAAGTTTTTAAGTGTTGAGTTCCTAAAAGATATGGGAAGCAAGTGTAGGTCTTCCTGTATCTTCTACCCTCAGGGCTTTATGCCAATTTGAAGTCTCATGTGGATATTAAGGCCTCAACATTACATAGTTTAATACTACATTCATTATACACAGATGGTTTTTCCCCGATGTGAGTTGTCACATGCTGTTATTAAAGAATGTGAAATTGCTTAAGGCTGTATGTTATTCTCACCTTCACATGGCATTTATGGCAATTTTAGATATGTAAAATTAATGTTAGAACAAAAATTAACCAAAAATGCTTCCTCACATGCCTTATAACCAGGTTTTCTCTCAGGTGTGAGTTCTTATATGTTCTGTAAGGTATGAACAATTACTGCTCTCCCATATACCTCATATGAATGGGAATTCTGCCCCAAGTAAGTTCTCAGATGTTGCGTAAGGATGAAAACTGACTAAAGTTGTTGTTTTTTTTAACATTCTTTACCTTCATAAGGTCTTTTTTTTCCCCCAATGATAAACTTCATTGAGGCTCCAGAGCCAAGATTCATGTAAAAGGCTGCCCTGTGGGCTGAGAAGGTGGTGGAGAGGCCTTATTTGACCCTCTTCTTGTGATGCAGGTTACTGATGTAGCTGTACTTCTTCTTGGAGCAGTTGGCAGCTCAGAGGTGTAGGTGGCATAACATTTGCATCACACTGTCTTGTTGCAGTTGTACTTCTGGGCAAGCTGGCAGAGGGAGGGCTCGACAATTCCTCCCTGCAAAGGAAGCCCTAGGTGCAAAGTGGACTCTTTCTAGATATTATAGTCTGAGACACTGCAACCACCCTCCAGCTGTTTGTCTGCAAAAATCAAATGCTGTTGGTCAGGCAGAATGCCCTCCCTGTCTTGGATTTTAGTTTTGATATTCTCTTATCTTCAGATAGAGTGGGAGGGAGAGAGCAAGAGAGAAACATTGATTGGTTGCCTCCCACATGACCCCGACCAGGACCAGGGACCAAACCACAACTGAGGTACGTGCCCTTGACTGGAACTGAACCTGTGACTCTTTGGTCAGGGAATCAATGCTCTAACCACTGAGAAAAACTGGCCAGGGCAGTTTTGACATTCTCAATGGTGTCACTTAGAAATGACCTTGAGGGTTACAGTCTCACCAGTCAGAGTCTCTACAAAGACATGCTTCTCTGCATCTGCTGGGGAAGCTGCTCGGTGCCTCACTGAAGAATGAGCTGCTTTCATAAGGTCTTTATCCAGATGAGTTTAGATGTGAATACTAAGGTCTGAGGAAGATTTCCAGGGTTTTTCACATGCCTTAGTTCTTAGATGTTTAGTGAGTGCTGAAGATTGAGTGAAGGTTTTCCCACATTCCTTACATTCATATGGTTTCTCTCCAGTGTGCGTTCGCATGTGAATATTAAGGCATGTGGCATATCTAAAGGTTTTCCCACATTCTTTACATTTGTATGGCTTTTCTCCAGTGTGCGTTCGCATGTGCATATTAAGATTTGTGGAACGAGCAAATGCTTTTCCACATTCTTTACATTCATAGGCCTTCTCCCCAGTGTGAGTTCTTACATGAGTAGTAAGGCCTGATGACTGAGTGAAGGCTTTCCCACAATGCTTGCATTCATATGGTTTCTCTCCAGTGTGCGTCCTTATGTGTTGATTAAGCATTGAAGAATTATTAAAGGCTTTCCCACACTGCTTACATACATAGGGTTTTTCTCCCGTGTGTGTTCGCATATGTAAGACAAGTCCTGAGGAACGGGTAAAAGTTTTCCCACATTCCTTACAAAGATATGGCTTCTCTCCACTGTGAATCCTTCCATGTTTCATAAGGTACGAAGAATGAATAAAGGCTTTTCCACATTCCTTACATTCATATGATTTTTCTCCAGTGTGAATTCGTATGTGTAAAATAAGTCCTGTGGATCGAGTAAAGGCTTTCCCACATTCCATGCATACGTAGGGCTTTTTTCCACTGTGAATTTTTATATGATCTGTAAGGTATAAGGAATGGGTGAAAGTTTTCCCACATTCTTTACATTCATATGTTTTTTCTCCAGTATGGTGTCTCATATGTACCTTTAAGGATGACTGATTAACAAATGTTTTCTGACAATCTTTGCATTCACACAATTTTTGTTGTGTCTGAGTTTTTTTGTGCCCAGTAAGATTTGAAAGCTGACAAGAGGCCTTTTCATGTTGAACACACACATAAGTTTTCTCCCCAAAGTGGATTTCCTTGAAGGTTTGATCAAAGTCCTTTTTGAATACTTTTCTATTCTGATAACCTTTAGAAGTTTTCTGTCTAATGTGAGTCATAAGAAATGAGTGTTCACTAAATATTTTTCCACATTGGTTAGAACCATACTGTTTCACTCCAGCATTGCTTCCCTCCTGTTAAGATATAAATGATCATTAAAAACTTTTTCACATTCATTATATTAACAGAATGTCACCATCACAACTTTTATGCACTAGAAACTTTATCATAATCAATTTTTTTCCTATTTCCATTAAGTGTATGGAGTTCCTGCCCTATTTTTTAGTTATTTTAAGTTGAATAAGCTATAAGGCCAGGACCCTGGAGTATATTCTCTACTTTTACAGAGTACCTTAGAGAGTTTTTCTGATAATTATTTAGACTAAACTGTGTTTACATATATTTATATACATGTAAATCTGAATAACAGAGTTACATATACGTAGATGTTTACTTGTGAGATCTCTGTGGAGAAACAGATCTGAAGTAAGTTTAGAGTGCTCCTGAAATTCTTGATATTCAGAGAATCTTTTCATAGACTCACTCTGCTTTCTCTGGGTAAATGGCATTTATCTCATATCATTTGCATGGATTTTGTATTTGTGGTCCTGATGTGGAGGACAAAAGTTACTTCTTGGAGGTCTTACCAATTGTATTCCATTTGGTGTTTTTCCCACAGAAATATCTTGAAGAGGTGTGGAAACTTTGGTTTTGAGTTGTAAATCCAATTCTGAAGGAACATAAAAAAATTAAAGTTTGGAGAAAATTTGTGAGATAAAGTTGTTTAAAAACATATGGCACAGAAAATTACCTCACAAAATATGGTGCATAGGGAACTCCAGGGCTCCTTCCAGCCAGAAAACAACTAACAAGCCTACAAAAACTATCAGAACCAACTCTTGCCAAATTTGGAATCTAGTCAATAGGTACAACATCCAAGGAACACTTAAGAAAGAAAGAAGCCACTGTATATCACCAAGAGAGTGTTTTAGATAATTTTTAGTTTTCTTCTCTTGACTCCAGGCATTTAAGAAATTTCTGAAAACTAAGCTAACAGAACACACGTTTCAGGGGCTGTACTACAAAAAATGTAGAACATACAAAAGTAATGGATGAAAAGTCACTAATTGCTGGTGGGACTGTAATGTGGTACAGCCTCTGTATAAAATAGTTTGGTATCAAATTAAAACAAAATGACTGTAGGACCCAGTAATTTCAATCCTACTTATGTACCCAAAAGAGCTGAAAACAGGTATTCAAATATTTGTACACAAATGTCCATAGCAGCAGTATTCACAATTGCCAGTGGTGCAAAATAGTCCATCAAAGGATAACTGGACAAACAAAATATAATATAGTCAGAAAACTGAGCATTACTCAGCCATAAAAAGGAATAAAGTGCCGATACATACCACAACTTGGATGAACCTTAAAAACATTATGCTAAGTGAAAGAAACCAGACACAAAAGCTCACATTTTGTATAATTCCACTTATAAGGTATCTATAGAATAGGTAAATCCATAGAGACAGAAAGTGGTTGCAGAGATTAGGGGTGAGGATACACGGGGATTGATTGCTTAATGAGTACATGGCTTCTTTTTGAGGTGATAAAAATATTTTGAAATTAAAAAGAGCTGATGGTTGCCTAACCATGTGAATGTACTTAATATCAATGTATTATACTCACTGAAATCATTAATTTATGTGTATTTTATCTCAAAATAAAGCATATGGCACACATGTATGTCTAAATATAAATGAAACATAATAAAAATGGTGAAACAAAAAGAAAGAGGGCACACAAAGAGTTTGGCTGTGTTAGGAATTTGGCAATGATAAGGGTTTGCTGTCAAAACTGTAGTACTGGGAAAAGAGCTACCTGCAAGTAATGAAATTTTCAAATAAGCCAAACAAGTCTTTCTGAGAGAACAAAAAAAGGTTGAGATCAGTGGAAATTAAGGGTACAGGGAAGTAGATGGTTCCTGAGGAAACCCTAAAACCAAGTGGCCTAAGTCTTCTCAGAAAAAGAGTATGCCTTTAAAAGTTTGCCAAGTGACATTTGCAAATGTACTGCTTTCCCAGGCTAGCACTGCTCTTCACAAAACTGTATCTGCTTGTGAACTCACCCTGCAGAACTCTGGCTCCTGTCCTCAGCTCTTCTGCTCCTTCCAGTGCAGAGCTGACACTGGGTTTGCAAGACTCATACCCTGAATAAGAGAAAAATACATGAAGAGAATCTTGCAAGACATGAAAAACATGTCCTTGAATCAAGAACCAACCTTTTAGCCTTCAGGGTTGCTCAAGACAGTAAAGTCTCACTTTACAAACTGCAAAATTATCGACCAAATTTTCAAATAAATCCAATAAAATGATTTTAAAAGGAACCAAAATCCAAGCACATTCACTCCCTGTACCCTCAAATGCCTGGAGATCTCTCAGACCTGAAAACCATGTCCAACCTAATCCATATTTAAAGTCTTAAGGTTTTTGGTGCCTAAAGGAAATAGTCTTTTATTTACATAGATCTTCATTTTCATAGAGAATCCTCTAGAAAGTAAAGGGCCATGAAGCCAAGGACTATGTCAGTGTTGTTTATCACAGTATTCCCATTTGATAGCAAAGGTCCTTAAGAAACTTTCGCTTCATAAAGGACTCAGTAAAGAAAAAATGTCAGCCCTGGCCGGTTTGGCTCAGCGGTTAGAGCGTCGGCCTGCGGTCCTGAGAGACCCGGGTTCGGTTTCCGCTAAGGGCGCGTACCTCGGTTGCAGTATGTCCCCGGCCCTGGTCGGTTGTGCGGGTGGCAGCCACTCGATGTGTTCCTTTCACGTCGATGTTTCTCTCTCTCTCTCTCTGTTCCTCTCTCTCCCTCCCACTCTACCTGAACAAAAAATGGAAAAATATCCTCAGGTGAGAATAAAAAAAAAAGAAAAAATGTCAGACTTACCTAGAGTAATGAGATTCTTATAGGTCTCCAACATCACGTCTCTATAGAGATCTCTCTGCGTCTGATCCAACAAAGTCCACTCCTCCTGGGTGAAGTCCACAGCCACATCCTCAAAGGTCAGTAAGTGCTAAACCATCAAACACATGCTGGCTTCAGCTAAGTACCACCTTCGGTGATGGTCTCAGAAAGATTCATGAGGCACTGAGGAAGGTAGATGGGAAACCTACAGTATTCCTAGGCCCAGACTTCTCTCTAGCTTTAGATACTTCGTGATGATTACATCCAGTCACATGGATTTACCAGTATCACTGGCATGAAACTGAACTTATCTTACCACAAGTTTACCATGGGCTCTTCTTGCTTTATTTCTCCTCTATTTATAGGCTGTGGTTAGCACTGAACATAATGCAGCACTTTGTAAAATCTAATACCAAAAGAATTATTGCCACAGTGACACAAATTTTAAAAGATTAGATACTTTCCTTTCCTTCCATAAGATCTGTCTTAATACAGGGTAAAACAATAAGCATAACTAAGGATCAGAAAGAATCAGTAAATTCTTTAAGATTAAAGAATCATTTCCAGCCCTGGCCAGTGTGGCTCAGTTGGTTGGGCATCATCCTGTGCACAGAAAGGTTGCCGGTTTGATTCCTGGTCAGGGCACATGCCCAGGTTGAGGGCTCAATCCCCAGTAGGGGATGTGCAGGAGGCAGCCAGCCAATCGATGTTTTGCTCTCACATTGATATTTCTTTCTCTCTCTCTCTCTGTTACCTCTCTCTCTAAAAAAAAAAATCAATTTAAAAACATATATTTTTAAATAATCATTCCCAGTGTAATCTGTGTATAATCTGAGATAGCATGAGTCCTGGAGAAATTCACCAGGAGTCATTCCTTAAGTAGTGTCATAATTGCTTTAAGAAGCTTGGGACCATGGCTACCAGATAGAAACAAGCATGACATTTGGAAGAAAAGTCAACTTTCTACTCACCTTAGAAGAATCCATTAGTAACCCAGCAACCATTTTTGCCTCAATTTTCCTCTCACGAAGACAGAAAGGATCCCAAGAACGATGACCTCAAAGAGAAGAATAGCATGGACTTCTAAGCCAGTTCAATTCCAACAATCACATGCCTATAAGCTGTTCCATGCCATGCACATAACGCACCACAAACATACTACAGTGATACCTCGGTTCTCGAACATAATTCGTTCCAGGAGGACGGTCGAGAACCGAATTGTTCGAGAACCGAAGCAATGAAACCAATAGGAAATAATGGAAACTGGATTAATTCGTTCCAAGCCCCAGAAAATGCCTATTTACTGGCCTAATTTGTATATAATATGTAGAAAAACATAAGTCTCAACAAGAAATAAAAGTGTACAGTATGTCTAAGGGTTAAATTCAGTGTAAAGCGTGACTCTCTCCACAAAGCGTGACTCTCTCCACAAAGCGTGACTCTCTCTCTGCACTCACACTGATGACGCAAGCAAGGCGCGCTGGGCCGAATGAACGCCATTCGGCTCAACTCGGCTCATCTCGGAAGTTCGAGTTCCAAATATTTGTTCGGATTCCGAGACAAAAGTTTCTCGAATCTCCTGGTCGAATACCGATTTGGTCGAAAACCGAGGCGTTCGAGAACCGAGGTATCACTGTACTTCCATAATATGACGAAAGCGCCTTGACTTACCTGGAGCAAGAAAATGGTTTTCAGTCTTTTGCTACGCATGAGGAACAGGTTAAAAATTCCATCTCAGAGTACACAAATTAACGTACAGAGGGGCAGAGCTGTCTGACATAAGATTCATAAACATTTTTCCCCAAAAAAGCACACACACACCTTCTTGCATCCCAAATTCCAGGAGCCTGACTTATAAACACTCTGGCCATTTCAATCCCGCTTACATGGCCCACTGCATGACCACTCAGACCCTGAGCACTGTATGTGCCATTTATGAAGAAACTATGTAAAGTCGATGATTTGAGAAGCATCAAAAAGGACTCACCATTCACGAGTCAGATCGATGGCTGGCACACTGTGAATCTGACAGTGAGATTTCCCAGAACGTTGCACTTCTTGTTCAGCAGATCACATCAGAAAAGCTTTTGAATTTAAATTAAGAGGTTGAGCTCAATTTATTTTCATATACTAGAGTGTCTGGGTTGCTGGTTCACATCAATCATCAAGCAACAGACATTTTGCAATTGTCAAAGATCACTCTTTAGCCATCTCTCTATAGATGAAACATGTGACAGTCATTAAAAACTAATACTATACTACACAAATATTAGTAAAAATCGCCATTTACTGAGCACCTGTTAAGTAGTTCTACATATATAAACTCCTTTAGTTATCTGAACAACCTTCCAAATTGGGTATTAATACTGTCATTTAATAAATGAGAAAACTGTCCTAGACGGCTTGCCTCAGCAGTTAGAGCATGGGCCCTCAGACCAGAGTCATGGGTTTGATTCCCAGTCAAGGGCACATACTTCAGTTGCAGGTCTGATCCCCAGCCCCAGTCAGTATTGTATGGGAGGCAACCAATCAATGTGTCTCTCTCACATTAATGATTCTCTCTCTCTCTCTCTCTCTCTCTCTCTTTTTCTCTCCCTTCCTGCCTTCCTCCCTCTCTCCTTCCTACTCTTTCTAAAAAATAAATGGAAAAATATCTTTGGGTGAAGATTAAAAATAAATAAATGGAAAAATTAAAGTTCACACATGATTAATAACTTGACCCAAAATCACCAGTTAGGAAGCATGAGCCTGGAGTAGACACAGGTTAGTGTGTTAAGCACCTGATCTCCTGTGGTTGTCGTTATTCCTGATGTGACCAGAATTCAGTCCAGACCCTCTGCTAGGCATAATGAAGAGGAGAAGTACAAAAGGTTTTATGAAATCAGAAGGTTTCCTGAGTACCCCCTGCTGGAGCTTGGTTAGACTTGGAACCTTTTCCTCCCTCGGTTCCTTATTTCTTCCTTTACTCAGCAAATATTTAGTAAGAGCCTTACTTGTGCCAGGCCAGATACTAGCCACTGAAGAGGAAACAGTTAAGGATCTCACAGTTCAAGTGGGCAATGCAGGTCATAACTAATTGATATCAGTTGGTGATGAGCAGTATAAATAATCAATCCCACTGAAGCATAAAGAGCACCACACATACACAAATATAACCTTGATATAGAGACTGGACTGGATAGGGGTAAGATAAACATTGAATAGGGAAATAATCACTTCAGAAGACTGGTAATTAATTGATAGCTCACTTACTCAAAAAATTCATGCTCCAATTTTGACAGAAAGACATTCAAACTTGAATATCAGGACTTTAGAAAAAATTCAAAATACATTTCTCATGTTAGCCACTCCAACAGGGTCTGAATCATAGTACTGTTTCTTGTTTATGTTGTAATTGAAGTCCTCCATATTATCTCACAGTTAACTACAAAAACTATTATATATATATATATGTCATCTTTTTCACCTTTTCATATTACTGATCAGTTCTACTTTTTTCCATTAAGTATTGATTTTATCTTTACTCATCCGTTTTGTACATTGTATCTACTTCTATATTTCTCACTCAGCCTTATGAGGTAGTACACTTAGTTCCATTTCTTGAACTTAGATTACATATATACAATAAGGGAGGCAATCATGAATAAAAATCTCAGTGAATTGTGAAGAACTGATCAGGGCCAGGTAAGCAGCATTCAGGTCAAGAAATAGAACATATCCATATCCAGCATCTCATACACACTCCTTGTCTTTTTTTTCCAAATCACTAACTCCATGCCTCCCAGTTGCAACCACTATCTGGACATTTAACATTCTAGGCTCCTGCCCTGTTTTGAATTTTAAAGAAACAGTTTCAAATAGCATGCATTTTTGTGTGTGTCTGGTTTTTATTCAACATTATATTTCTGAGGTTCATCCAAGTTATTTTACCTGGAATTTGGTTATATCTACCTGGGATTTGGTCTTTCTCTTTGCTGAAATGTATACCATAGGGGAAAAAAATGCCACAGTGCATCCATTCTTCTCTCCATCCACTGTTATTTCCACTTTAGGCTATTCCATGTCATGATGCTATATATAGTCTTTGTTTAATGGGTGCACATGTGCAACAGATTATACTTAGTTGATACTCTTTAAAAATGTGTTTCCACTAACAGTGTAGGCATATCTTAACCAACACTTGGCACTGTCACTCTTTTTAGTTTTACTTTTAACCATTCAGTGTGTAGTACTATCACACTGTCGTTTTTATTTGTATTTCCCTGGTTGCTGCTGACATAAAGCATCTGTTCACGTATTTGTTGTCCATTTATATATGATCTTTATTGAAGAGCCTATTCAAACCTGTGGGTCGTTTTTCTGCAGAGTTTTTATTTTGGGTATTAATCTGTAGGAATTATTACATAACCTTGTTGGTACATGTGAGGCAATTAACCAAGTTATTAAAGGTCAAATATTTCTGCAACTTACTTCCAATCTCCTTACTCTCAAAGAATTTATAAACACACATGGAGACAGACGTAGCAATACAGCAGATATGCACAATATTAACCAATGGTCAATGGACGACCAGGTAACACCTAACAGGTCACCAAACTTCAACACCGCGCGCCCACAGCGAGGCAGTTCTGGCCGTGCTCACCGGAACGCGCCGCGATCGCCAGGGGGTCAGGAAAGGGGGACGCGGGGACATTGCCCAGAGAACGTGAACGCCTTTCCCTCTGGAGAAAAGGCAGAAAGGTTGCTTTCGCAGCTTTCGAAGAGAGGCGGGCGGCGGATGAAGAACAGGCCCTGCCCCCGCGGCCCGGCCCGGCGCGGGCGGAGCAGGCGGAGCTCTCAGAGAAATCGCAGCAGCCACGGGAAGCCTCGGCCACGCGGTGCCGGCGGGGACCGGGCTCCGCGACTGCCGGTCAGCCTGAGCGGATGGGCCTATGCGCCGCGCCCGGACGCCGACCGGAGAGAGAACCTATCCAGACACAGGGAGGAACGTGGAGAGAGACGCAGACCCGAGCACTTCCGCTTCCGGTGCCGCACCGCGACCCGCGTAAGGGGCGGCACCTCCGGAGCTCCGCCTCCGCCAGCCGTGAGGCCGGAATGGGGACCTGCGTGGGTGGTGGTGGCTTCTTCTAGACCCGAGGGGAAGCCGCAGGACTCGAGTCTAGAACAGACCCTCGATTTCCACAGTCCTGGAGGGCAGGTCCGGCCGGAAGGCCGAGGGACGCAGAGGCCCGAGGGAGAAGCGGAGAGACGTCGAGATGTTGGTTTAGGTTGTGGCCGACCCAGGGCTTGGTTCCGGGCCGCCCGATCTAAGGCGAGTGTACCGGCGGCAGAGAGGTCCTTAACGCTCTTCTACGGACCTTCCCCTTATCCCTTCGACCCCGTTCAACGAGGTGTGCATATTTACAAACATAAGCCTGTTCGTCCACAAAATGGGCTATCCCTTTCATTGACTCAGTTCTTTATTTAGACCTTTAGTTTTAAGGTATACTTTTCATGGCATACAATTAACCCATTTAAAGTGTGCCATTTAGTGACTTTTCGTACTTTCAGAGTTGTGCATCAGTCACCACAATCAATTTTGGTACATTTTCGTTTTCAAAAAAGAAACCCAGTACCCTCTTAGCCATAATCTCCTACCTCACCCCTGCCCCTCAACCCCAGCCCAAGGCAACTACTAATGTACATTTTTTGTCTCTGGATTTGTCTAGTCCCACATTTCATATAAGTGGAATCTTACAATATGTGATCTTTGTATCTGGCTTCTTTCGGTGTTATAGCATATATTGGTACTTCATCTCTTATGTCAACATTTATCCATTCAACCATGAATGGACATTGGGTTGTTCCCTTTTTTGGGGTATTAAATAATATAGGATACCTTTTAAGCAGTAATCAGAGGAAAATTCACTTTATTAAACACATCAATGCAATGAGAGGATAAAAAATAAATCCTGAGCTCAAAAAAACCATAGAAACCTTGAAATACAAAATCAATGCAAACTAAGATATAAAAAATTATATAAGACATTAAACTACCAAAAAAAAGCATCAAACCCAGATAGGTTGATTTTGGTTGGGGGGTTTTGGTTTTTTTTGTTTTGGTAACGGTCTTGAGATATTAAAATGCCATACAATGCACCAATTTAAAATGTACATTCAGTGCTGCTTCTAATATTTACAGAGTTGTGAAACCATTACTACAATCAATTTTAGAACAATTTCATTACCCCCAGCTCCACATCCAGCCCTAAACTGTCACTAATCTATTTATTGTCTCTGTGGATTTGTCTGTTCTAACCATTCATATAAATTAACGAGGGAAAAATACTCTATGGCCTCCTGTGACTGGTTTCTTTAATATAGCATAAAAATTTTTTTTAATGGGCCTGCAGCCAGGGTGCCCTAAATGCAGTCTGAACTCATAGTCCCATGTGGACTGATAGCAAAATGTGATCAGAACTTCTGAGGCTTTGGAAATCATCAGCACCTCCAGAACCCTCCTTTGCTTGGGGAAGAGCCCCTGTCTATTCTTCTCCTGCTGCAATTCTGGCCACCCCCAATCTCTCCCTTAACACCACTTCAATAATAAGACCCATTGTCTACAGTAGTCCAAACCCCTCCAGCATATTTTTAAATTTTTTATTAATTTATTTTTGTTACAGATGTTTCTCCTTTTTTTCCCCATTGACACCCTCCTCCCCATACCCCCCACCCCGTACCCAGCTTTGTTGTCCATGTCCATCAGTTATGTGTACATGCATATAAGTTCTGTGGTTTATCTCTTCCCTCCCCCCATCACCTCCTCTTCTGAGGGTTCACATAGCATAAATTTTTCAAGGTTCATCAGTGTTGTAGTGTGAATGAGTGTTTTATTACTTTTATTTGATAAATAATATTTCTGTCAGTTGATGGTCATTTGGGTTGTTTCCACTTTTTAGCCATTGTGAATAATGCTATGAAATATGTGTGTTTTGGCTATGTTTAAAACAATTGTATAAAATTTTGAGTTTGGCACTGGTGGACTACTAAGAACAATTCTGCTGTGAACATTGTGCAAATGTCTATTGATGTTTCTAGGTAGCCGAGCAGTCCCTCCCTATGATCTATTGAAAGTCAGCCCTCCACACAAAGAAAAAAAAAATGTCTACTTGAGTCCCTGCTTTCAGTTCTTTTAGATATATACGCAGAAGTGGAATTGCAGGATTTTATGCTCATTCTCTGCTTAATTGAGGAACGGTTTTACATAGTAGTCACACCATTTCACATTCCCACCAGTGATGTACAAGGGTTCTAACTTCTTCACATCCTCATCAGCAAGTGTTATTTTTTGTCTTTTGGATAGTAGCCATCCTAATAGATGTGAAGTGACATCTAATTGTGCTTTTTTATTTGCATTTCCCTAATGATTAATGATGAACATCTTTTCATGTGCTTATTTGCCATCTGTATATCTTCTTTGAAGAAATGCCTACAAGTATTCAAGTTCTTTGCCCATTTTTGAATTGGGTTATTTTGTTGTTGTTGTTGAGTTCTGGGATTTTTTAAGAGATTCTGGATATTAATACTTTATCAGACATATGATTTCCAAATATGTCTCCTGTTTTGTGGGTTGTATTTTCACTCCTTTGTTATTGTCCTGTGATACCCAAAAGTTTGTAATTTTGATAAAGTTTAGTTTATCTTGTCTTGTAGCCTGTGATTTTGATGTCATAGACAAGAAACCATCACTAAATCCAATGTCATGAAGTTTTTCCCCTACATTTTTTTCTAAGAGTCTTACAGATTTAGGTTTTTTATCCATTTGGAGTTAATTTTTGTATATGGTATGAGGGAAGAGTCCAGTTTCATTCTTTTTCATGTGAAAACCCAGCTGTTTTAGCACCATCTGTTGACGAGGTTATTCTTTCCCCATTGAATGAACTTGGCACCTTTGTCAAAAATCTATTTGGCATGAGTTTTCCATATATCCTGACTCTCAACTCTTTTGCATTGCTCTCTATGTCTGTCTTCATGCCAGTAAGTTTTAATAACCATACTTTTAATTCCTACAAATTGATGCTTTGATAGCTACAAAATGGTGTAAACCCTGGCTCACCCAAAAAACATATGGAGATTTTTTTTAATTGATTTTTAGAGAGAGAGAGAGAGAGAGAGAAACATCGAGGTGAGAGTGAAACCCAGGCATGTTCCCCAAGTGGGGAACCGACAACCTTTCAGTGAACGGGACAATGCCCAACCAACTGAGCCACACCAGCGAGGGCTTCTGGAGATTTTAAATAGCCCTGAACCATAATCTCTAACAGTCATGCTGAACATAAATTTTATAGAGGAACCACTTTCATATATAGCTAGCTGATCAATCCTAAGCCTGTTTACTCTGCCTTACCCATTCCAATGGAAACCAAATAATAGTGCTTACCCAAAGTTCTGCTCCCTTCCTCTGTCTTAGGACCAACCCCAGTGCTTCCCCTAAGTGGTGCTGCATAGAGTTCTGTGTTTTCCCTAGGAAACTGAAGAGAACAAAACTGTAAAACTCTGGTTTCTCTCTTGATCTGTATCTGGCTTCCCCATACCTCACACAAAGTAATAAAATGACTGGGACAGTGAACAGGATTGTTTGGTTCCAAATGAGAAAGAGATGCTACTGGACTGCTCTTGGTTTACTAACTGGATTCACTAGTTGATAGAGGAGGCTTGGAAGACAACATTGCCTGCTGGAGCAATTGCACTTTCACCTTTGCTACTATGTGCTATCTTTTTTACTTTGGTATCTGGATAATGCTGGCCTCATAATATGAATTTGGAAGCATCCTTTCCTCTTCGATTTTTAAGAGTTTGAGAAGGTCTGGTGTTAATGCTTTAAATGTTTGGTAGAATTCACCTGTGCCCAGAATTCATCTGGTCTTGAGCTTTTCTTTGTTGGGAGGTTTTTGATTACTCATTCAATTTGCTTATTGTTGGTCTGTTCAGAATTTCTATTTCTTCATGATTCAGTCTTGGTAGGTTGTATTTTTTTTGTGGGGGGAGCAATTTTTCTTAGTTTATTTTTGTTACAAATGTTTCTCCTTTTTCCTCCACTGACACCCTCCTCCAGATCCCACCCATCCCTGTTGCCCAGCATTGTTGTCTATGTCCATGGTTACACATACCTGCATACAAGTTCTGTGGCTTATCCCTTCCTTTCCCCTCCCCATCCCCCTCTTCTGAGGTTTATCAGTCTGTACCCTACCTTCTATGTCTCTGGGTCTATTTTGTTCATCGGCTTGTATTGTTCATTATATTCCACAAATGAGTGAGATCATGTGATATTTGTCTTTCTGGTAGGTTGTATTTTTCTAAGTATTTAAACTTTTCTTCTGAGTTGTCCAGTCTGTTGGCATATAATTGTTCAAATTAATCTCGTCCCGTCCATTGTATGTCTTCTCTTTCATTTAGAATTTTATTTGAATCCTGTCTTTTTCTTGGGAAGTCTAGCTAAAGGTTTGTCAATTTACTATATTGTCAAAAAAAAAAAAAAAAAAAACCCTCAACTCTTAGTTTCATTGATCTTTTTCTATTGATTTCCTATCTCTATTTTATTTATTTCTACTCTGATTTTTATTTCCTTCTTTCTTCTAACCTTGGGCTTCATTTATTCTTTTTGTAGTACCTTGAGGTGTAAACTTAGGTCATTGAAAAATATATTTTTTTCTTAATGTAGGCTATAAATTTTTCTCTTGTAACTGCTTTTCTGCATCTCATAAGT